AGGGGGTGCCCCTCGATCCAGGGACAGCCCCAGGCTATGGGATGGCCCTGCGGGACCCCTTGATCCAGCAGCCCTGGGATGTGGGACACTGTGGGATCCCTCGATCCAAGGTCGGAATGGGGCTGAACTGGTGTGGATTCCTCGGGGCACCTGCAGGGATGGTGTGGGACAAGAAACGCTCCCAGTGGCACCAGAATGGTGGGAATGGTCCCGGCCCCGAGGCTGCCAGAGCTCCAGGGGGGTTTGCACAGCAGGCACAGGGTGGGATTTTGGGGTCTGTGCAGGGCTGGGATGGACTGGATGAATGTCTGGAGACCTCACAGCACCTTCCAGTGCTGGAAGGGGCCACAGGGAAGCCAGAGTGGGACTGTTCATTGGGAACTGCAGGGACGGGACAAGGGGGAATGGGCACTAATGGGAGAAAGGGAAATTTGKGTTAGAGATAGGGAATRAATTCYCTGKGAGGGTGGGCAGGCCCTGGCACAGGGTGCCCAGAGAAGCTGTGGCTGCCCCTGGATCCCTGGCAGTGYCCAAGGCCAGGCTGGACATTGGGGCTGGGAGCAGCCTGGGACAGTGGGAGGTGTCCCTGCCATGRCWGGGGTGGCACTGGGTGATCTTTAGGGTCCCTCCCAACCCTTAACTCCGGTGAGTCTGTGATTCCATGATCCCTGTGGGACATTCCGTGATTCCCTGGGCTCGGGTGGGCACTGGGAGTGTCCCTGGTGAGACTGGAGGAGGGATGGGGCTTTGGGATGTCACCACAGCCCCACCAGGGGACACCACAGCCCCTCAGAGCACCAGAACCCCTCAGAGGGGCTGATGGAAGGCTGTGATTCCTGAGTCGTTGTGGGCACCCAGAACCGGGATTTTGTGCTGGAATGGGACCGTGGTGCTGCCCCAGGGACTCTGGGCTGCTCTACCCCACACGGCCCCACTCCAGCACGGTGACAAAGGGCTCTGAGTGAGCTCAGCACTGCGAGGGACAGCGGTGTCCATTGTGAATCGGGCTGGAGAGGAGCGGGAGGCGTTCCTGAGACACCACAGAGCTCATCCTGCAGCGCTGACCGAAACCAAACACAGCTCAGAGGGAACAGCCCTCGGGAAAATGCCAGGGATGGGCAGAAATGCGGGATGTGGCTGCTCCTGAGCCGCAGRGTTGTGTCCAGCCTGGAAGGATCCCGCTGGAAATGCTGCTGAGGGTGCCTGGGAGCTCCCTGCTTGGATCCCAGCAGTGCCGGAGCCGTTTCCACACTCCAGCCCTGACCTTGTGGGAATATCTGCGGGAAGGGAGAGCGGTTCCCTTTCCAAAGCAGAAACTTTTTTATGAGGCCAAGATGTTTCCATTCTATTTGAGCCGCTGGCCCACAGCGATGTTCTCGTACACACGCTGCACTTTCCACGTCATCTACTACAGGCTCCCCTGGGAGAGGCTTCAGGAACATTAAAAAACCCTCTACAAAATATCCTAAAAGAGAAGAGGGCCACGTGCTCCTTACGGGGTTGCCATGAATGGCAGTGCTTTCGAATCAGGGACAGGAAATGCAGCAGTAGTGGAATCTGTAGAGTTTCACCAGACTGAAGAATATATTTAAATGTTCATCTCTCTTCTAGCCCAAAATAGAATCAAAGATGATTTATCACAGCTGGTGCAGCAGCATCTGAGGACATTGCCTCGCCCTTTGGCCTCAGGATCAGAACAACTTGGTGCTGAGTAGAGTTGTGGGGCTAAAATTGTGGTCGTGTCCCCAAATGTCTTCAGAGGTCACTRCTGGAGCACAGAGATGCACTTTGAATTCATTTATCCCCAGCCAGGTGGAATTCTGAGCACATGGATAAAGGCTGGTCCCTCGAGCAGATCCTTTCTGTTCCTTTCTTATCTCCTCCTCTTTTGTCTTTCCCAGCTTTGAGGAATTCAGTTACTGAGAGTGAAAACGTGGCTCAAAGACAATTTTTGTTGAGTGCAGTGTGAGAAGCGACCTTTGGGCCCCAAGTTTGCAACAAAGAGGGGCACAGAGAGCTGTAGGGTCAAGGTGGTGTTGGTTGGGGTAAATTCAGGGATATGTGCACAAGCCATGAGTTCTATCTCAGCATCTGCCACAGCCCCCAGCATTTCCCCAGAGCTTCATTTCCCATTTCTGCCCAGAAAAGAGCCCATTTCTCCATCCAAGTTCCCTCAATATCAATATATTCTATGAAAGATGTACTGGAGGCAAATGCAATGGTTACAAATGGATTTCTAGAGGGAAAATCATCTCTGCCAGTGCCAGGCAGAAGGAGAAACCTTTTCCCAACATGTTGGGATCTCTGGCTGTGCTCATTTCCTACTCCTCCTGTACAATGCATGAGGAATAATTAAAAGCACTTTTAAAAGCATTCTGACATCCTTCTGTGATGGGCACCATGGTCATGGCAAATATTTTTATTTTTAGCAAGCTTCGTCTCTGAAGATGTGTAGGAGCGCCAACAACAATATAAATAGAAAAATCTTATAACAAACAGAGCCAAAAGCAACACAGGCCAGTAAATAAATCTGTAAAAAAATTTTGGTGTGGAAATAACAATCTCTGYGCAACATGCAAAGGCCCAGATCTTTGCATGAGCAGCCCAAAGGGTGGTTAAGTGAAGCCTCCAGAACCATCCAAATGTTTCCAAAGTCACTCTCAGTTTTGCAAACATTCCCCCTCTAAWTTAAGCTATTGTTTTTCCAAGAGAATTTGAATTTAAAACACGGGTTTCTTAGCTAAATATAAGTCCATTGTGCACAAACAATGAAAATCTCCTTTAAAAACAATTGTTATTCTGCATGCCAAGGRTTATACAATGTCCAAGAGTGTGAATCCTTCTGCATGGCTTCACTCACTGAAAAGGCTGTTCTGAAATCTAGAAAATCAGAWAAGGAGCAGGTTTGAAAACMTCTGGGTTTGGTTCTATATTTTACTTGAATCTTTTCAGAATCAGAGCCTGAAAGTTATGAGAAGGGGGGAGCTCAAGAATAGATTTAAAACTTTGGGAGAATACTCTGTTTTTTTATATGTACTAAAAGCCCTTCTCTCTGCACAGGGGTTTGTGCACACAGGGGTTTGTGCACACAGTGGAACGAGCTCTGGGGAGAAGCACAAGAAGCCTGGGCTGGTGCAGAAGAAATTCAAATTAAGCCACATTAGCCAAGGAACTGGAACTGCACTGCTCTGCTTCCAGCACGCAGCCTGGAGCTGCTCTCCCATTTGTTTGAAGCAGCAGAAACCCTCCGAGCTGCCAAAAGCAGCAGTTTGACATTTCCTCCCCCACTGCTGTGTCATTGCTGCCCCCACACATCCCCCTCCCGTGTCAGCACCAGATCCAGCCCTGCAAGCACACGGGAACAGCTTCCCTCTCCCTCCTCACGTTGCAGCTGCTCCGTGCCCACGGTTGGGACTCTCAATTTTTGGGTGCCCATCCAAGCCCAGCATCATTTGAGCACAGTTTGTGTTCTTTTTGTCTGCCTCACATTGATCCAGACCAAAGCTCAGCCCCCAAATTTATGTGCCTCTGACTGACTCCCTTTTGTGTTCCTCAGCACCACATTTGGTTACCCAAAATCACTTTAATTTTTGTTTCAGTTGAATATACCTCCCTTTTGGGGCAAGCCAGAAGAGCCGTTTTCTTCTAGGAATGTCTTCGCTCATAAAGAATATTCTTCATGTTCTTTCTTAACTTATCTGGCTTTTATTTTATTTTTTTTTCCCTGTGCTGAAGCTCTTCTGGCCACCTAGAAGCTGACAGATCTATGACTGTTTGGTTTTGGAGGASGATATTGTGATGAATGTTTTTCTATTCCTCACTAACATATGCTTTTAATAGCAAATGGTAACAAAGGTTCCAGCACTCTGAGAGGCAGACAGTGACTGACTGTTACTAACTAATCCCAAATTTATCATGTGTCCAGYTCAATAACACATTTCAAAGTGCCCCATTAATTGACCACAAGATTTGGAGCTTTTTTCCCCATTCTTCCTCTAGTTTTGCCTGTTCTTACAAAACTTGTGTGAGATTAAAGCACCCTGGTAATGTGATTTCCTGGAAAAGATKTTTTTTCAGTGCGTGGGTTTTCGCAAAGATCTGGAAGCCAATGTACACTGGAAGATTTGCAAACCATTCCCACAGGAGCCATGTCCCAAAAGACACAGGATCCAGCAGTTCCCTCCCAGTTCCATGAGCTGCATCAGCCTCCAGACATTTTTTCTGCCTCTTCGTCAGCTGCCAGGATGGTCAAAGGAACAGCTCTGGCAGCTTGCACATCATCACTGCATAAATAGTGCTGCACAAGGAGTTTTCAGAGGGGAAACAGAACCTTGGAAAAGTGATATGTCCATAAATCTCAGGATTCTTGTGCTGGTTTCACTGCAGTGCCCCAAAGCTGCCTTTTCCTAAGGGCTGTCACACTCAGCACATCCTCTGCGGTGCTCCTGTGGAGACTGGGATCAGTGCTTTGGGATGGGCAGTGATCTGGAGCCCTGCTCTGATATTCCATGCTCTGGGCCCTGCTGGGGAGGGCTCAGGTGTGCTGTGGGKCAGAGCAGAGCTGGGCACAAAGAGGCTTTTTGGTGGCTGCAGCCTCTCCGGAGYGAGCCAAGCCCACCCTGTCCCTGCAGAAAAAGGGCATTCCCAGCTCTGCCTGACCTGTGCGGGATTATCTTTCTCTCCCATCCACATCTCCCACACAGCCTGACAGAGTCCATGTGCCAGCCTTGCCTTGCTGCTCCCGCAGACCCCTTCGGAGAAGTTTGCCGAAGATGAATGCTCTAACTTCTTTTTTTTTTTTTTTTTTTTTTTTTTTTTTTTTTTTTTTTTTTTTTTTTTTTTTTTTTTTTTTTTTTTTTGTTTAATTTACATCTGTTTCATATTATTTGCAGTTTTGCTTTATCTGGGTCACTCCCTCCCCAGTGTTGTTCCCTCCCTGTTATCCCGGAGAGCTGAGGGCTGATTGTAGCCAGTGTTCAGTTACAGGCTGTCATCCCACAGACCCTGCAGCCGCCAGCTGTCCTCAAACCCCGCTCAGCTTTCCTAGAGAAGCCGTTCTCTCCTTATTCCCGCTGTCTGGCTCGCCCCACTGACACACACCGAGCCTTTCCTCAGCTTCTGTCATCAGTCCTAAATTCCCTTTTCCATGTTTGGAGAAGCTGCAGTGTCCCACCCCAGTGCTGACCCACTGGTGTCCCAGCAGGCTGTTAGGACTAACAAAGCAGCGGATCAAATGGATCCTGGAGGATTCCTGGGTCAGCTGGGATTTTGGAATACCCCCAGCTGCCTGGAAACTATGAGTGGGGGGATGGAAATGTGTTTGTTGCCCTGAAGAGCAGGGTCCCATCAGCTCCGGGCTGAAAGGGCAGGACACAATAGCAGGGGGAGAACAAGAGAGCGCGGGGCTGGAGCCGATTGAAAGGGCAAAGGGAGCGGACAGGCAGAACCGGATTATTCAAAGTGGAATTAGAGCACAGCCCGGGGGGGACTGCACCGCGCTGAAAACGCTGAAAACCCCTAAAATGTGGGCTTTTAGCAGCCGGCCGAGGGGCAGCGCATAAAGCAGCGGTGGGGAGAGCTCCGGGGGCTCGGAGCGCTGGATGCAGGCGCAGCTCGCTCGCAGCCCGGCTGCAGGAATGTCCCGGTCCCACTTGTGATTGGCTGCGGGATGCCGGAGTCAGTTTTCACGGGGGCTGATCAAAAAGTCCTTTTGGCTCTCCAAAGTCGCTGTCTGAGCAGAGGAATCGGCTGGAGGAGGCCGGGCGCTCTCACATTCCTCGGGAAAACTGCTTCAATGGGATGAGAAGGCTTCTCCCCGCAAGGAAACGCGGCCAGGACCGGGCGCCGCCGAGCCTTTTTCCTGCTTTTCTGCCCCGAGGCGGGTTGAGCAGCCATCCCTCCTGGCATGCTTCTCATCCCTGAGGAGGCGATGTCTCAGTACTCCACCAACTTCCTGCTGCTGCCCATTCCGGAGTACCCCGTACTGGATTGCGTGCCCAACAAAATCATCAARCTCGTGGTGCTGGGCGGCAGCAGCGTGGGCAAGACAGGTAAGTCYGCAGGTGTGCTCCCTGCTTTTTCCTGCAGCTGCACTTCCGAGCTCCTTCGCTCCTCAGACACATCAAACCTGCCAAATTTGGTGCAGTTTAACTATTTTAAGTTATTCTATTTTAAAGAAGATTCATGGAATAATTTGTGAGGCAGATCTGCTGTAAATGTGTGACCAGACAGTGTGAGCCAGCAGCGAGTTTTGTACTCACAAACCATTCTACCTGGTCTTGTGCAATTTTTTTAACTGTGACTAAATTTCCACACCCCAAAAGTGGGACTGGAGGCTTTTATCCTCCTGCTGTAAGTATTTTATGCTCTGCAGACAAATCACAGCATWCAAGATGTGCCTTCCTCCTTTATTCCCCGAAGGAGAGGGGAAGACAAGAGGGTAAAGAGAGCATTGGTGCATTTGAAGAGATGGCCCATCATTTCAGGAATTATTAAGAGCAGATCTGATTCATTACATCTGTGGTTCCATGGGATTCAGCAAAATGTTTGATTGTTTTGGCTTTGAAGCAGCCACATCTTCATATTGTTTTTAAATAGTTTGTTGAAGACAGCTGCACAGGCAATTCCATCTCAGGGTGCTAAAGGGTGACTCACTATCACAGAGGAAAATTATGGCTTGAAATGAAATCTATTATAAAGTAGTGTCRCTTGCAGAATAAACCATTTTATTTAACTCTTAATTAAGTGGTTTTGCAAGTTGTTAAGAATCTTCTGAGAACAAAGCACCATGGGAATATAAGTAACTGTTGCCATGATGGGATTGAAGTGTTTTATCAAGAAAAAAAAAATGTTTTAGTCAAAGAGTTGAAGAAAGCAGCACAGGTTAAGGTGAATAAGAAGGCCCAGGGTGCTGCAGCATCCCCCAAGTGTGCAGAGGACATGCAGTTTGYTTGCTGGCTGTGATTAGATATCACTAATGGGTTTCAGGAGGGTGTTTARGGCTGGAAAGAACCATTTCATCCATCAGCCTCACTTCTTGTATGACATAAAACATTTGGATTAGTTGCAGTCTACTGGCTTKTTACTGTATTTTCAAATCATTTCAGGGCAAAGGACATGGTTTTACCTGCAATCACAGAGAAACAACCTCCCTATCCCACTGAGCAGCCACCCTGAATCTGAGGGYTCCTTTCCAGCACAATCTGTGAAAAACTCTGTATTAGGTATCGCAGATCTTTGTCTGGGAGTGGTGAGAGCAGCATTTGCAGAATAACATGTGAACAATGCAAAGATTCACTGGGCTCCATGGGAGGCTCTGTCCTGCAGGAAGATGTTACCCGGGTTGTGCAAAGATGGATTTGGGCTCTCATCAMGGACCCGTCTTTTTCTCGTTCTTTTACAGCCCTGGTCGTGCGCTTTCTCACCAAGAGATTTATTGGGGACTACGAAGCCAACACTGGTGAGTTCTGCTCTCCCCAGCAGCACTGCAGAGAGCTGGAAAATAAATCCACTCTGTTTTGTGACTGGTGCACATTACAGGAGAGCCAAGTGGTGTTGGATGTCCATAAGGTGCATATTTTCAGTTAATAGCCTCGAGCTATGAAAGCCATAAATCAAAGGCTCATTATTTATGATCCTTTCAGCTATTTTTTTTCCCCAAGTTGATGGAAAAGGATCAGAGTAAAAGGTTTGCTTGGGGACATACCTTTACTGAAAGGCTCAAGGAACAATGTACACATCAACTAAACCACGGAAACTTWACGCTGCTCTCCCTGCAACCCCAGGGAAGCCAGAGGAATTCCAAGGGGTCTAAAAGGCAGCTCAGAACTTTTTCTGTGCATTTCTTTTTTTTTTTTTTCAGGGGCTATTATAACCAGGGAGACTTTGAAAGTAAAGCCTTCTCTCCATAAGATAAGCAACCATTAATTTCTTGTTTCATCCACAGAGTGTGTTCATGTGAGCTGTTTCATTCAGACTGTTCCAAGCTCCGGTTTGGCCAGGGTTGTAGGGTGGATCCATGTACCCCATGCTCASTCCTGCACATCCCACACACTGGACACCCCACAGGTTTGGGCTGAGGCTGGGCAGGATCCAGGAAATGCTTCCCTTTGGAGATGCTGGCCGAGCTCAGGATGAGGAGCAGGGAAGGAGGGAGCAGCACAAGATACTTGCTCTGAGGAAACAACCTGAATGCTCCTCCTTCCAGCTCCCCCTTGCTGACCCCAAGTAACCCTGATGCTTGGCTGCACTTTTCCCCTTTTTCCCTGTCACCTCTCTGCTGGGAGGTTGTACATCAGGCGAGACTGGGGAGCTGTGCAGTGGAAGGCTGCCAGAGCTGGGAACCACATGCTTTTCTCATYAAGCTCCAGGCCCCCAGCCCTGCTGCAGGAGAGCTGGAGCTGCCAGCAGTAAGGAGCAGGTGGCAGCACCTTTGGGATCACACAGCCCTGCTTCTCCTTCTGCTGGGCATCCCTGGCAGAGCAGAGGCACTGCCTGCTCTTGGTTCTGCAGGCATGGTGGAATGGGAATAAGGGGTTGTCTGATCTTGGTTCAGGGGTGCAGGGTGTGCCCCACAAAACCATCTTTACAACTTAAAATCTGATCTAAAATACAAAATAAATCCCACCTGGTTCCCCTCACACTATTAAACCATGACACGATAACGTTGGCTTCGGTGCTAAATTTCCTTGTGTTGAAAATGTTCTATGAACTCAGACTYTTTTCCACTGGGATACARTCACTGGTTTCCTTGAAACAAAGAYGATTTTCAGCAGCAATGGTGTTATTGTCACTAGCTGGGCTCGCCATTAATCTGAATTCCTCACTCTCCAGTGGATGGATTTCTTCACATTTGACATTATTCTGGAGGCAGCAGTGCCAATTGTGTTGGGCCAAGACAGAAGTGCTGCACACAACAGCTGTGGATTAGCATTTCTTCACACWGCCATGTGACTTGCTTTAGGTTCTAAAGGAAAATGATGATGCCATTCCCCTCTGAAACTGTCCTTGTCACAACCAGAGTGTTCACAAGATTAAGAATTAAATTTCCATTGTCACTTAACTAACTCTGTGGTGGCAAAATGAAGTTCAAGCCAGAGGCAGCAGTGGTTAGATCAGAGCTAGATCAGGCCCAGGTGGGCAGAACCGGCCCTTGGCTGTGAATATATTTCATCCCGAACAACCAAAGTGGGGCTTAAAGTGCCCAATCTTTGGGGATTTCAACCAAACTCTGCTGAAACCACACAAACCCCAAAGAGCACCTGGGTGATTTACACAGTCACTCACCCTGTGTCCGAAACTTGAACACTTTCCTTTATTTAAGGCATTCAGAAAAATGCAGTAGGAAACAGCTCACTCCTTTTACCAACCACACCTGGATGCCTTGGTTTGTAATTATAAAATGTGAACTGTGATTATATTCAAAGTTAACAGTATGGCTTGAGAACCCACCTGGGATTTATGTACCCATTTGAGTGTGTGATTCAACACCAAGTGGCCCTTTCCCAGCCCCCATCCTGGCTGCACATTCAGAGCATGTCCCCACAGCAAACACAACCCCACTTCACTCAGCAAACAGCCACACAAACACTCTGGGGCCATTCACTTTTCTACAGGCAGCTCCACATCCTAAACCTCCAAACTCTGGATTCCAGCAGTCCCATTTTGCCTTTCCTTTGTATTTTTGCCACACAAACACTCCAGGGCCATTCACTTTTCTACAGGCAGCTCCACATCCTRAACCTCCAAACTCTGCATTCCAGCAGTCCCATTTTGCCTTTCCTTTGTACTTTTGGTTCCCTGTTACACCCCTGACTGGTGATTTTCCTTCTGCACAGGTGCTCTGTACTCCAGAAAGTTCACCATCGATGGGGAGCAGATCTCTCTGCAGGTGCAGGACACTCCCTTTGTSTCACTGGAGGTAACACAACCGTTTTACAATTAATGTCTCCTGTTTGTTGCCAGCACTTCCATCTGTAATTAACTCCACTTAGCAGCAGAAAACACCTGGCTCAAGCCCAAGACTAATCAAGGTACCTTAAACCTTACCAAAATGAGCTCTGGAAGGTGTTAAATCAGGCTCCTTCAGGAGTAAATCAAACTGAAAACAAATCTCTTTCYAACATGTTACTAAACAGCAGTAAAATACAATCTGGCTAGCTCCTTGATTGTTTTATTTTCTGTCAAATGGTTKCTGCCCCCACCTGCCTAGAGGCCTATCTGGCTCAGCTCGGACCTTGCTACACACCCCAAGTCTCTCAGATTTAGAGAAGTGTTTCTTTCCAAAGGACCAGCCTCACAGCGGTTGTCATTTCCAACTATAGTGCTTTTTGCTGGTTTTCTTACTCTGTTTTTAAATGTAATTAATTCCTTATTTTTAAGATGTTAGCATTTTTCACACTCCTTTTTCATTCAGTGCTTTAGATTGTTAGACTCAATGATATTAAAGATATTCTCCAATATTAATGATTCTATGATTCTATTATATTCTAAATTTAATATTCTACTAGGAACCTGTTTCTAGAATTACTCTTCCAAGCAGGATTTAAGATTAAAATGTCTCTCCTTGAAGAGCTGCTTCACATGCAGGACAGGAGGATGCAAATGTCTCAAAGCAGCAGGAAATGTGATGAAAATTGGGGTTACATGAATGGTGAGAACCTCATTAAGGTAATAATTCTTATAGAACAACTGAGATTTTATGATAAAATTATGTATTCTCATTGCACCACCAAGCTTAAACTTTCAGGTGTGGTCTTAACCTCAGTCTAAACTCTGACTTGGTTGAATAAATAAATCAAATCTTCTCTACCTTCTCTCCTCCTGTGTCAGGCTGTCCCTGGACAGCTCTGCACCCCCCTTTTTTTACCTGCACAGACCCCTGAGTGCATTTCTGTGTCAGGGAACTGTTCTATCATGAGCTGACAGAATGGGATAAGCAAAGCCCCTGCAGTTCCCMTTTCCAGCTTCTCCAGTGGCTGGAAGTGGATGAAGTGGAAAGCTTTGATGAAATCCCACTCTCTGCTGTGCTGGGGTGCACAGAGCAGAGGGCAGGAGCCCTCATTTGCTCTGGACACTCCAAACCAGACAAAAGCTGCAGTGGAAGCTCTCCAAATATTCAAGTGGGATTTAWTAGCACAAAGACTCACCCTGCAGAGAGGAGTTGTGGGGGTGATTGAGCACCACTGGGATTGCCTGATAAACACCTAACAAAGGGAATCCCCTCTTTCTTCCATCCCAGGGAGAAAGGAGGCAGTGGAACAATTTAACTTATTTTTTTCAGACCAGAGAAAACATTTTCCTGTTTAAATTCACACTTTGCTCAATAGTATAGTGATTCTAGAACTGCACAAAATTTAGTCAATGCCAACAGCTGGGGTTTCTTAGAAAGGATTTTTAATTTAGTTAGGAAGGAGTTTCATTTTCTTTGTCCCAGTCCAAGGTATGTGCTGTTCCAAGATCTCCCACATTTATCTCACCCTGTAGTTCTCACCTTCAAATGATGTATCTGCAATAACTGAAGGGATTGTGTCAGAATAGGTCAAGACTGACAAAAGGTTGGATTTTTTTAATCAAAATCCTTAAGGAAGAGTTTCCTGCACTCTGCAGGCAGAGTACAGTGTTTCAGGAGGAAGTCATGTGGAAACCCTCAGGATTCAAGTCCCCAGAAATGTGAAAGTGTAAGAGAGAAACAGAAGCAGATGCCTGGTTTTGTTGGGTGATTCATTGCTGCTTGGCCTATGCACTGCAAACGCCCTGTGTGTTTCAAAATCCATTCTGGAGCAGAGATTTCCATTTAAAAAGTAGCCCATAGGCCTTTGATTTCCTGAATAAAGCATTCCTCCTGGGATTACCCATCCCTCTCCCTACTGGGTGGGCCTAGCTGGAGTAACAGAGAATCCCTGCTCATTAGGGCTCTCTCAATGTGCACTTTCTCCAAACCCATTTTCAAAGCTTGCCAGCACAATTAGTTCCTTTTTTTTTTTTTTTTTTTTTTTTTTTTTTTTTTTTTTTTTTTTTTTTTTTTTGCCATGAAAGGGTTTTGCTGGTGAAAAGAGGCTTCCAGGACATGGAGAGGGGCTAATTATCTCCAGCCTGGCTGCAACCCAGACCCCAAGAGTGCAAATTGCCCTCCTTCCCACAGCCTGCCCCTGCCTGGCTGGAGTTCACTCACATTCACCTTCCCAACAAGGCTGCTGGGAGAATCCCTCCATCCATCCATCCTCATCCCATGTTGGAGGGTTTTGGGGAGGAGTGATAARAGCATCTGATAACCAAGTTCACTGCTCACAGGATTTAGCTGAGAGCTGGCAAGGGCGAAGAACCTCAACTTGTGATGAGCCAGTGTTTCTGTGGGCAATACTGAAATATTTAGAAAGGGCACATGGTGGGCAGAACTCCTGAGGAAAGATTTAAGCCTAATTTACACTCTGACCCTTCAGGAATTCTGGTTCCTTCATCTCACAGAAGAGCTTGACAGTAGTTCTTCTTTTGCTGTCCGATCTACCAGAAAAAATCTGATCAGTTTTACTCATTCTCTTCCACCTCTTCATCCTGAAGTTAGGCTTTATAATTCATATTTAGGTGTCTAAATAAAAGTGATCTGTTTGGGGAGARTGCTGAGCACTAAATTCTGTTCAAATTAATGTGAATGACAGATATGTATTCTATGGATTAACAGATAATGGAATATGTGCTCTACTACTCTTAYTAAAGGTAATGAAAATTTCTAGGGTAGAATTAAGCAACAATAGTAAAAATTTGATGTATTTGTGATGTTGAACTCCCCTTCAAATACACAATTTCTACCAACTTCATGAAGAGCTGCATACAGAATATGCTTGCTGGATATAAAAAATGACAGCGTTCCAGCAATGCTGTAAYATTGACAGGAATGTCAGCTCTTCCAAACCAAGCATGGCTGCAGCAGGGATCCCCCTCTCTGGCTGGGTTATCCCCATCCCAGCAGGGATCACAAAGAGGAGAGGATTAGCAGGAAATAGCTTCATCTTGACAAGCCAGCTGATCTCTTTTCAAGCTCCACAGGGCTCTATTCAGCTTTGTGTTTCCAGAGCTGGTGTTTGTTGGGGCTCTGAGTGGGAGTGGTGATGGGTTCAACAAATGTGTGACCAGCAAAAATTGATATAAACCCATCAGCTGCTCTACACATTATCAATGAGGTTTCACCTGATTTTCAGTTCTAGTAATTGGATCTTTGTAACAAATTGGGTTTTTTTCAAGGAAACTTTGCTTTTGAGCCTCTGGAGACCTGCAAGGCAGGAAAACCTGGCAGGCTTCCCCAAACAGAATCAGTGAGAACCTTTGTCTATGGAGATGTGGAATAAAAAAATTGGAAAAAGCCCTAAAAGTCACCTTGGAGGACAGCTGTTCTCTTGTCACAGTGTGTTAAACCTGATGGGTTTTGTGATGCCCTTCCTGTGCCCATCACAGTTTTATCCACAATGGGATGGTTTGGTGCAAGAGAATACAGAACAATCTTTCCAAGAGCAGTATTTTGGCTTTTCTCTTCAACCAATTTGCTCTGAGTYCTCTCCACTCCCCATTACTGCTTACCTGCAATAGGGGATCACAGAATCATGGAATCAGTGAGGTTGGAAAAGACCTCCAGGACTGAGTCCATCATTGACTAATTTGCATGTTATCARTGAGATCAGAGCACCGAGTGCCATGTCCAGTCATTCCTTGGATACCTCCAGGGATGAGGACTCCACCCACCTCCCTGGGCAGTCCTTCCAATGTCTGACCATCTTTTTGATGAAGAAATTCATCCTAATGTCCAACCTAAACCTCTCCTGGCACAGCCTGAGGCTGTTTCCCCTTGTCCTGTCACTGGACAGAGCCTGTCCCACCCTTGGCTACAMCCTCCTTTCAGGGAGCTGATGGGGTCCCCCTGGACTCCTTTTCTCCAGGCTGGACAGCCGAGCTTGGCATTATCAACACTGGGGATTTCTGCTGTTCCTGGTACATCCTGAGAGGCTTCTGGGTGTACATTAACAAACAGCCCCACATTCAAACTGAGCTCTGAGCTCCATCTGGGGCAGTTTGCTCTCCCTGGTCTCCAGTTCTTGATGTTCTAACCAAGGTCTGAGTTTCATTCAGGGCTGTTTGCTCTCCCTGGTCTCCAGTTCTTGATGTTCTAACCAAGGTCTGAGTTTCATTCAGGGCTGTTTGCTCTCCCTGGTCTCCAGTTCYTRATGTTCTAACCAAGGTCTGAGTTTCATTCAGGGCTGTTTGCTCTCCCTGGTCTGCAACTCCTGATGTTCTAACTGAGCTCTGAGCTCTGTCTGGGGCTGTTTGCTCTCCCTGCTCCCTGGTCTCCCATTCCTGATGTTTAAACTGAGTTCTCACTGTGGCTGTTTGCTCTCCCTGATCTCCAGGTCCTGATGTTCAAACCGAGCTCTGAGTTCCACCTGGGGCTTTTGCTCTCCCTGCTCCCTGGTCTCCCATTCCTGATGTTTAAACTGAGTTCTCACTGTGGCTGTTTGCTCTCCCTGATCTCCAGTTCCTGATGTTCAAACCGAGCTCTGAGCTCCATTTGGGGCTGTTTGCTCTCCCTGCTCCGTGTTTCCTGATGCCCAAACCCCGCTGTTTTGCAGGATGACACAGACAGCATCTGCTGCCAGGAGCAGATAAACCGCTCCATCTACTGGGCCGACGGCTTTGTCTTCGTTTACTCCATCACGGACTACGAGAGCTTCCGCGTGCTGCGCCCGCTGCACCAGCACATCCGCAGGATCCACCCCAACGCCAACATCCCCCTGCTGCTCATGGCCAACAAGGGCGACCTGCTGCGGGCCAGGCAGGTGTCCTCCAAGGAAGGGCTGCAGCTGGCCACCGAGCTGGGCGGCACCTACAGCGAGGTGTCGGCGCGGGAGAACGGCGAGGGCGTGCACGAGGCCTTCCAGCAGCTGTGCCAGGAGCTCTGCAGGAGCATCGGCAGCGGCAACGGAGAGAAGAGGAGGGGGCTCCACCTCGTGCGGCCCAAGTCGCCCAACATGCAGGACTTGAAGAGACGCTTGAAGCAGGCGTTGACTTCCAAAGGCAAATCCGCCACCACGCTTTGATGGAGCTGCTAGGAATACGTTTTCCAGAGCCCTGGGAAAAAAGGCAGTAATTGTAAAAAGGCACATGGCTGAAATTCTGCCTTTGGGCTGTGTGTGAGACTCTCAARWAGTGTGAGAGACRTCACTGAAATTCTGTGTGAGACATCATCRAAATTCAGCCATTGGGTTGTGTGAGAGACACTCAAATTGTGAGAGAGACATCGCTGAAATTCTGTGCGAGAGACACTCAAGTTGTGTGTGAGACATCATCGAAATTCAGCCATGGGGTTATATGTGAGACTCTCGAGTAGTGTGAGAGACATCACTGAAATTCTGTGTGAGACATCATCGAAATTCAGCCATGGGGTTATATGTGAGACTCTCGAGTAGTGTGAGAGACATCACTGAAATTCAGCCATCAGGTTATGCAAGAGACACCCAAGTTGTGTGTGGGACATCGCTGAAATTCAGCCTTTGGGTTGTGTGAGACTCTCAGGTGGTCTGAGAGCCTCTTTCATTTGTTCTTTACATCTTCCTCAAAAAGCCTCTGCTCATTCAGTAAAGGAACTCATGGAATTCTCTCTCTGGGGCAGGAGTTTAGAAACTGTTATTTAAAAAATAGATTTGTCCCAAATAATTTCTTTTTCTTTTTTTTTCTTTTTTTTTTCTTTTTTTTTTTTTTTTTTCAAGGGGTTCAGTGAAATATCATAGTGTTAAAAAGTGGGTTTTGCTAATGGAAATAATGAAATCCTGCTTTTAAGAGATGTGACTTCCCTTGGGGATGGGTGAATTCCCAAACACAAGCAATGAACAGCAGGACGTGAGGAGAGTGACAGGAGCTGTACTGAGCAAGCAAAAGGTACCAGATCTGCTTTGCTGCAAGACTGGAAAATAAAGGCAAAAATTAAATTMATTCATTCATTTAAATGAAGAGCATAAAGTGAAAAGTACTAATTGAAAGGAAGTGTTCTTAGCAATGGGGAGAGATTTTTTCATATGCAAGCCTCAGMCTTACAGTGTCTCTTTAAAGGGAGATTTTTTTTTTTTTAAATCACAATTTTTACAGATCCTTTTTCTTGAAAAGTACATTGACTTCCTCTGAAAGTGATTATTTGGGCAAAATACAAACTTGTAGCACCATTTTGGAGTCAGTTTCTCAATGGCATTTCTCATTTTTCTGAAGATTGCTTACATGGCAAAAGGGAAAAATAGATCAGAGTGGTTTAAAACCTKCCCAAAAACGGACTACATTGATCAAGAGCAAGGAGGTCACCTAAAACTCTTTAACATTTTTTACCAAATTAATCAGGATTCAAGTTCAAAATGATGCTTTAAAGAAACAAAGCCTTCACATGAAGTATATTTAAATCATTAGGTTGTTTGGTATTTTTTTTTTTTTTCAGAAGAAAAGGTTTTATGGTGCCTGAATTTTTTTTGGCTTTGGGAATTTATTATTTTAGCTTTGGGAATTCATAATTTTATTAGTTTTTTTCAGAAGAAAAGGTTTTATGCTGCCTGACATTTTTGGCTTTGGAAATTCATGGTTTTGGCTTTGGGAATTCATGGTTTTGCTGGGTTTTCTTTCAGAAGCAAAGTTTCTGTGATGCCTGACATTTTTGGCTTTGGGAATTCATGATTTTTTTTAGTTTTTTCAGAATAAAAGGTTCTATGATGCCTGACATTTTTTACTTTGAGAATTCATTATTTTAGCTTTGAGAATTCATGATTTTGTTCGTTTTTTTCAGAAGAAAAAGTTCTATAATGCCTGACATTTTTGGCTTTGGGAATTCTTTATTTTAGCTTTGGGAATTCATTATTTTTTTAGTTTTTTTCAGAAGAAAAGTTTCACTGCCACCTGACATTTTTGGCTTTGGGAAGTCATGATTTTGGCTTTGAGAATTCCTGATTTTGCTGGGTTTTTTTTCAGAAGAAAAGGTTCTATGATGCCTGACATTTTTGGCTTTGGGAATTCACTATTTTGCCCTTGGGAATTCATGATTTTGGCCTTGGGAATTCATGATTTTGGCTTTGGAAATTCATGATTTTGTTGTTGGAGTTGAACCCAGACATCCCTGAAGAGCTCCCAGAGCAGCCCAGCCTGTCAGGACTGTTCCAGTGGCTGTGCCTCAGCACGTCCCAGGATTTGAGGTGGATCCCATGAGCTGATTTATGGAACCAAAAACGACAACACAGAGCACCCAGCACTCTGCTCTCAATGAGAGTGGAGAGGAACAGGCTGGAACCACCTAAAATTCCTTCAAACAGAGCACAGGAGCCATTCAAGGACCATGAAAYAAAGCCGAGCTCAGTGATTTATACTCAGGGACACAGGAGGGAAACCCGAGTTTGAGGGATATGGAAAACCACTCCCAGCTGCACTTTCATCAGGCAAAACTGAGCTAAATCTATATTTTCCTCATTAGGAGCAGCAAAAATGGAAACTGATGATTATTTGTATAGCTCAGGGCTTTAAAATGCACTTTGCATTTTCTGTGTCCCTGTATTGGACTGCTCTAGCCATGATTTTCCTTATCACCTGGATTTGCCTTATCTCCAGCTCACTTTCTGTTTTATTTATTGTTTTCCACAGCTGCTCATCTGAGAATGTCTTGTGTTCTGCTTCATTTAAAAGGCTTTTATTACCACAAAAGGACCTGCACCTGTTTTTAAATTCAGTTTCAAGTGGTAGTAGGAGGGGGAAAGTTGGATCATGTGAACAGGGACTCAAATTATATCAGGGAATTTGTACTTTTGGTTATGGTTAATTAACAATTTGGTGTTTGAGCAGGATTGTTAATCATCCCAGGCACTTTGGTATTTATGGTGCAGAATTTCAGTGTTTTAWATTTGTAATAGCATAGCTCAAAAGGTGAGTCTAAAGATTTTCAGTAGCTCAAATATTGAATTTAGAGATTCAATGCCTCAAATATTGAGTGTAAAAATTCAATAACATGAAATAGAGAAATTTGCAAGACACACAGAAACGGAAGTATTTTTCTGTTGAAAAAACGATGCCCAATTTTGAATAGCAATTAACAATTTTATCACTCCAGTACTGCATAACAAGAGCTAAATTTGCTGAAGACAATTTGCTGACATTTGTTTTCATGAAAGCCCAAGAGAATTCGTGCTCCAGCTTGTTAGATTTGTTTGTAACTCCCTCCTTCAGTTCCAGTTATTTCTGATTTGGGAAGAGATTTCACCAAATTTCAAACCTGTTAATGTTTTSTTAGTGATTAATAAAAACATACAAGGTCTTTCCTGAGTAGTGAATAAAATGGCTCCTTTACGTGTCACATATTTAAATATTCCTTATTTACACTAAGGCATTGTTTTCCCTTCTTACAGCCTAAGACACCCTGCTTTGGAAGTATTCTTTATGTAAGGAAGTATTTCTTATGCAAATAAATATTCCCACATTCCTGTGTGGGAAAAAAAAAAAATCGACATTTTGGCTAAAGCCAAAAAATATTGAAACATTTAAGTCTTAGGTCCTAACATGTGGCAAATATTTATTCTGTTGCAGTAACTTTAGTATTTCCTTTGTTCATTGACCAGGAGTACAAATCCTGGTTTTAAGCCAGGACTAACCATCTCCAGAAGTCAATAAAGCTCAGTATTTTTATTTGGGGTGCAGCAGTTGAACCCCAGGACACATCACTGTGCCCCAGAGGCRAGGCTGATTGGCAGCACAAAAAGCAGAGAGGAAAGAATGCTATAGAATGAAGTGCCTAAAAATAATCATGTACAAGATCAAAGTTTAGTCATGTAGAACCTGATCCTGAATTAGAAACTTCAGGCTGCCAGGGGAAAACAAGTATTCTRCTGGAGGTTCAAAATTAACCCTCTGGAGAGAAGGAACTGCCATAAAATCAAGAAGGRAAAGGAAAAATAAAGATTTAAGAATGTGGGGTGATTTTTCTGTATCAAAGAAAATCCTCCTCTCAGTTCTATTGATTTAGTCCAGATTAACTCCACTGGAATCAATCCCAACAGCAGTRAGCTGTAGACTTCCTTTTTAAAWTTTTTTTCTCATCCCTCATCATTCTCCTGAGCATTTTAAATCTTTGTGCACCATCTGGTTTTCAAGATGGTTTTACAGCTGGGTTTACTTGGGCACAAAGCAGTGGAGCAATTTGCCCCAAGGTGACACAGCTGAGCAAGTACTTGACAGCAACTCAAACCCTGTGTCCTTTGTAATTAATTCCCACTCTTTACAACAACTCCCAGATCAAACAWCTCCCTCAAGGTATGCACAAAGCACAGGGGGCTGTACTGGACAGGAATGTAATTAAAAATTGGAATAAKTGACTTAAATTACAGTCAGGGTAAAGCCTCAGTGACAGGCTGGCACCACCCAGTTACAGCAGCACCAAGACAGGCTGGGASTTACTGAAGATATTTGTTAATGGTTGTTTTGTGTGTTCCTGTCAGCTGCATTTCTCACACATTTCCAGTGGTTCCCCATGGAAATGCAGCGTGGCCTAGGAGAAGGGAAAAYCAGGCTCTATTTTTAACTTTTCCTGTGACTTGCTTGATGGTCTTGGCCAGAACTCTGAATCTGAATTACTCTGATAAATACCTGTCACACAGCTGAGCATCCACGGGAGAGGATCACCCAGGAGARTAAAGGAATTGTCCCCATTGGCACAGCGATGGCTGAAATGTTYACATCTCAACTGAACTCACACCTTGCTTCTGCAGTCCTTTAAAACTCACTTGTATGGGTCCCACATATACACCTGGAGCAGAGGACAAAACCAGAAAATTCTGATCCTGATTTCAGTGAACAGCTCAGACAGAAATATTTGTATCCAGAGTACAGGCTGCTCCCAGGATTTGTGTCAGATGTACAAATAAAGAAAGAATTACCTTCTGAGACATCAAAAAGGACTTGTTCTGACCAGAAAACAGTTGTTTAATTGTTTTCCTAGGCAAACTGGATGGGCAAACTGCCAGCTGATTGTCACTGCTGGATTTCCTCTGCCCACTGGCAAAGTAGATTTGGGGTCAAAATCCCACTGCTCTGTTTGCAGAGCCAGCACATGGCCCTGAGRCAGCAGAACACAATTAAATACTCACTAACATTTCATGTTCGTGGATTCTTGGAGCCCTTCTGAGCTGTGCCTGTCTCCTCTGGGGCTRACACAAGAAAAACATGGAATTAAAGTTAAAAAAGATCTCCAGTTTCACTTTGAAAACTCAAAACCAGGGACAATGAGGTGGAAAAGATGATCCAATCTATCACTAATGGAGACAAAGCAAGGCTCTTCCTTTGATAATTTCTCACTGGCTCTGCCCTTCTTCTCCCTCTCCATTCATGCCTTTGTTCTCTTTTAACACAGCAAGAAAAAAATTCTGCAACTCTTCTTCCTTTGGCTTAGAAACATACTTTTGCTGTTTAGTTTAAAATTTATTTCCAAATATTTGAACTCCAAACATGGTTTATAACAAAAGAAGAGTGTCCACTTAGTCGTTTGACCTTATTTACCTAAAGCATTTTAAAGCACAGCTACGGCTCTGTGCTTTGAATTCCTGTCGTTTCTCCCCAAGTGCTGTCACTGGCTTAGCCCAATATTTCCTCCCCTTGTTTGTGCTTACAGTGTTGAGCTCATTCATGTTG